TGGAGGGAGGACTGGAAGAAGGGAGGGTTGTGGGTGGAGGGAGGACTGGAAGAAGGGAGGGTTGTGGTTGTTCATAATGACTGCTTGCAGTCATTATGAACGTCATAATGCTTGCAGTCATAATTCTTGCAGCATAATGCTTGAAGTCATATTGCTTGCATGTATAATGCTTGCATGTATAATGCTTACAAGTATATTGCTTGCATTTAGAATGCTTGCAGTCATAGTGCTTGCAGGCATAAGGCTTGCAGTCATATTGCTTGCAGGTATAATGCTTGCAGTCATAATGCTTGCTGTCATAATGCTTGCCATCATAATGTTTACAGTCATAATGCTTGCCGCCATAATGCTTGCAATCATAATGCTTGCATGTATAATACTTGCAGGGATAATGCTTGCATGTATAATACTTGCAGGGATAATGCTTGCAGTCATAATTCTTGCCAGCATGATGCTTGCATGTATAATGCTTGCATGTATAATGCTTGCATGTATAATGCTTGCATGTATAATGCTTGCATGTATAATGCTTGCATGTATAATGCTTGCAGTCATAATGCTTGCAAACATAATGTTTGCAGGCATAATGCTTGCAGTCATAATGCATGCATGTATAATGCTAGCAAGTATATTGCTTGCATTTATAATGCTTGCAGTCATAATGCTTGTATGTATATAATGCTTGCCATCATAATGCTTGCATGTATAATACTTGCTGTCATAATGTTTGCAGTCATTATGCTTGCCGTCATAATAGCTTGCCATCATAATACTTGCAGTTATAATGCTTGCAGTCATAATGCTTGCATGTATAATGCTTGGCGTCATAATGATTGCCGTCATAATACTTGCAGACATAATGCTTGCAGTCATAACACTTGCCATCATAATGCTTGAAGACATAATGCTTGCAGTTATAATGCTTGCAGGCATAATAACTGCAGGCATAATGCTTGCAGTCATAATGCTTGCAGACATAATGCTTGCCGTCATAATGCTTGTTGTCATAATACATGAAGTTATAATGCTTGCAGGCATAATGCATGCCATCATAATGCTTGTAGACATGATGCTTGCCATCATAATGCTTGCAGACATAATGCTTGCAGTCATAATGCTTGCAGACATAATGCTTGCAGTCATAATGCTTGTTGTCATAATGCTTGCAGTCATAATGCTTGCAGACATAATGCTTGCAGTCATGATGCTTGTCATAATGCTTTCAGGCATAATACTTACAGTCCTAATGCTTGCAGGTATAATGCTTGCCGTCATAATGCTTGCAGATATAATGCTTGCTGTTATAATGTTTATTGTCATAATGCTGTCGGAAAATCCGACACCATTTAATAATATCATACAGGCAGATAATATTGCTGTGTTGTATAAACAAGTTAACCCATAGAAAATGTAACTTGTAGTGGAATTTCCGTCTATAGAAAACGGGATATCATTACCACATACTATTATAAATTCACCACCTATTATGGTGGGAATTATTCTTAAATACATTAGTCTTTGGACTTTACCATCATAAATTAACTTAATTATCAGAATTAAAATAGAGTAAATGTGACCCTTCTATTACTTACTGTCATCTGGACAATGTAGGCCAGTAGCGTCAGTGAGGAGGGAGTGGTCAGCCATTGTTATTGTTTAAGACCACAGAGTCGTGGAGCGAATTACGGCTCCTATAAATTCTCTTGGACGAAGTGTTATGGAAGATCAGAGTAGTGATCTGCCATCATCAACACGCTGTCATCAATCTCAAGGGAAGTGTCTTTCCGAAACCCGTTTATCTAATCATTTTTGGCCATTAATGTCAGTAGATAGGGCGTACCGGTTAGAACACGAATGATCGACTCAAACAAGGTAATTAAGCCTAGGTCTTTATGGTTCCATGTACAGTGTTTTCTCTGATACAGCTGTCATATATTAGGATTCTGGCTTCATAGCTAGCGCCCTTTTGACAGGTCAAGACGAGGAAGCATGCTTTGTGTACCAGTTACTGGGTGATGGAAGCTACCTCAAAGAGGATAATTTGGTGTCTACATCCTGGTTATACCTGCTTACAGTCATAATGCTTCCTGTCATAATGCTTGCAGGCATAATGCTTGCCGTCATAATGCTTGTTATCATAATGCTTGTTATCATAATGCTTGTTATCATAATGCTTGCATGTATAATGCTTGCAGGCATAATGCTTGATGTCATAATGGTTGCAGTCATAATGCTTGCAATCATAATGCTTGCCGTCATAATGCTTGCAGTCATAATGCTTGTAGTCATAATGCTTGCAGGCATAATGCTTGCCATCATAATGCTTGCTGTCATAATGCTTGTCATCATAATGCTTGCCGTCATAATGCTTGCAGGCATAATGCTTGGATATATAATTATTGCAGTCATAATGCTTGCTGTCATAATGCTTGCATGTATAATTCTCACCGTCATAATGCTTGCATGTATAATGCTTGCAGTCATAACGCTTGCCGTCATAATGCTTTCATGTATAATGCTTGCAGGTATAATGCTTGCCGTTATAATGCTTACAGGCATAATGCTTGCTGTCATAATGCTTGCAGGCATAATGCTTGCAGGTATAATGCTTGCAGGTATAATGCTTGCAGTCACATTGCCTTCATAATGCTTGCAGGTATAATGCTTGCAGACATAATGCTTGCAGGTATATTGCTTGCAGTCACATTGCCGTCATAATGCTTGCATGCATAACGCTTGCAGGCATAATTGTTGCCGTCATGATACGTGTAGTCATAATGCTTGCCGTCATAATGCTTGCAGTCATAATGCTTGACGTCATAATGCTTGCAGGTATAATGCTTGTCGTCATAATGCTTGCCATCATAATGCTTGCTGCCATAATGCTTGTTGTCATAATGCTTGCATGCATAACGCTTGCAGGCATAATTCTTGCCGTCATGATACGTGTAGTCATAATTCTTGCCGTCATGATGCTTGTAGTCATGCTGCTTGCTTGTATAATGCTTGCCGTCATAATGCTTGCAGTCATAATGCTTGACGACATAATGCTTGCAGTTATAATGCTTGTGGTCATAATGCTTGTCGTCATAATGCTTGCCATCATAATGCTTGCTGCCATAATGCTTGTTGTCATAATGCTTGCAATCATAATGCTTGCAGGTATAATGATTCCAGTCATAATGCTTGCAGGCATAATGCTTGCGGGTATAAAATGGTTGTGATAGTAATAAAGGTTCCAATATATCGATGTCTTATAATTTTTTATAACTGTCCAAAAGTGTAGATAAATTACGACTTGGAATGAGAGGCGGAGCCCCAGAACTAGTTTCTATCCCGCGACTGTCTCAAAGGTAACCATTTTAAATTTTATTTAAATTCAATGTATAGTAAGGAAATTAGAGATGAACTGGGTCCCAGAGCTGGAGGCAGGGCCCAGGAGCTACATTCTCTTTATTGTCTTAGCTCTTAGTAATTAATTTAATCTTAAATCTGATGTATTGATGTATACCTACGAAATTTCAACGAAGAACTATAACGGAGCTACAGCCCATGAACCTTCTTTTGTCTCGCTGGTACCTATTTTAAATTTCATTTGCATAGGATTTATATTAAGGAAATAAGTCCACTACGGGCTCACCATACCCCGTGCTACTTGCAACTTCTGTTCCGAGTTGCTGAATCTTTAACAACAACAACATTAACGAAATTACAATGGAGAACCAAGGCGGGAGACAGGAGCTGGAGCCTAAGAACTATTTCATTTCCTCTTCCTATGTGAAAACTTAAATTAAATTTTAATTGAGCTAATAAGCCATATTAGCTTAGTAATAATAAGTCATAATAAGTGTTTACGTATGACTCACAAGCACTGGGGTGAAAGGGCTGAGTGGTCTCACCTTACGCCACAACTTCTGAAATACTGAATTTCTCCTTGAGATATATCACGTTAATATGATTTCTGTGTGTATTTAGGAAAGTTGTATATGACCTATCAGTATGGAAGGTGAGGAAGACGGTAATACAGTGATGTACACTCCTTCCATGCGTGAAGTCATACATCTTGAGAGACAACAAGTTACTAACTCTATAAAGGAGACGGGGTAGAACCATCCTCTCAAGACACAGAGACAACTAGTGAGGGAGATTGGGGTGGAAGACACACTGCTGGTTAGATGTAGGAATAATAAGGCTGTTGGTTCACGACATTGGAAGCTCTCCAGTTACACAGCTCATATTATACAATTCAAGAAAAGAATGTCCTGGCACTAGTAGATGCATTACAGTGTACCCTATGTAATTCCATGATCCTCCCTGGAAGATGTAGCTATGCCTTTATGTAGAGCCGCGTCTACTTCAAAGTCAGTAAACAAAACATATTACAGCCATCTTCCCAGTGAAGCATGAATTCCAGAATACTTGTTCCATTATCAAATGTATTATTTAGTTTATTCTGTATTTTAGTTTATTGAACAGGACGACCTGTAATAGTCTCCCTGACACACATGAGAGACCAGGACGACCCGGTATAGTCTCCCTGACACACACGAGAGACCAGGACGACCCGGTATAGTCTCACAGACACACATGGGAGAGCAAGACGACCCGGTATAGTCTCACTGACAAACATGGGAGACCAGGACGACCCGGTATAGTCTCCCTGACACACATGAGAGACCAGGACGACCCGGTATAGTCTCCCTGACACACATGGGAGACCAGGACGACCCGGTATAGTCTCACTGACAAACATGGGAGACCAGGACGACCCGGTATAGTCTCACTGACAAACATGGGAGACCAGGACGACCCGGTATAGTCTCACTGACAAACATGGGAGACCAGGACGACCCGGTATAGTCTCACTGACAAACATGGGAGACCAGGACGACCCGGTATAGTCTCACTGACAAACATGGGAGACCAGGACGACACATACATCAAATTGTGTTCGCAGATGTGTCTGAACCTAGAGTAAAATAATTGTTGTGACACAACAGATGGCACAGTTTGACCCCGAGGAGTGCGTGAGGGCTCTGAGGGAGCACCGGGTGACTGTGCTGTGCGCCCCGCCCACCGCCTACCGCGCCCTACTCCAGCTCGACTTGACTCGCCAGACCTTCCCTTCCCTGAGGCACTGTGTGAGTGCTGGCGAGCCTCTCAACCCTGAGGCCATGCAGCTGTGGCAGCGCTCTACAGGTGGGTACAGTATTACAGCCATCCACACTATACACAATACAGGTGGATACACTATTATAGTCATCCACACTTGCCACCCAAGTGACTGCATGGAATCTCAGTTCTTTTATGATACGTTATATTGGATGGACTTCATCCTGGTTGTTATAACACAGGTAGAACACACAAGTAGAACACATAGGTAGAACACAGGTAGAACACACAAGTAGGACACACAGGTGGAACACACAGGAAGGACACACAGGCAGAACACACAGGTAGGACACACACACACAGGTAATACACACAGGTAGTACACACAGGTGGAACACACAGGTAGAACACACAGGTGGAACACACAGGTGGAACACACAGGTAGAACACACACACAAAACTTACAAATAAGACTAAAGACTACACATATAAACACATAAAGCAGCCCAAAGTGTTATGTCGTCAGTGACATATTGTCATACTTGTGGCCAGGTGTCGCCATCTATGAGGGCTACGGGCAGACAGAGACGACCCTGGTGGCGTGTGCGGCCAGAGGTATGGGCGCCCCTCCTGGCTCCATGGGCAAGGCTGCACCCGGCTACACTCTCACCGTAAGTTTGAATTATAATATATATGTAAATAAATAAGCCAGTCCAAGCTCGGTCAATAATTTTGGACCATACAAAAAAGACGACCATTCCCTATACGTCAGCATTTGACTTGTGCAACTTACTAACTCTCTGACTTATAGAATGTAAAAATAAATGTTTTCTTAAATATAAACTAATTGGATAATATATTAGAGGATTATGTATGGTTTAAGACGTTTTAACAGAAGAGGCTTGCGCTGTATATGTTTATAGTAGAGGCTTGTGCTGTATGTGTTTATAGTAGAGGCTGATACTGTATGTGTTTATAGTAGAGGCTTGTGCTGTATGTGTTTATAGTAGAGGCTTGTGCTGTATGTGTTTATAGTAGAGGCTGATACTGTATGTGTTTATAGTAGAGGCTTGTGCTGTATGTGTTTATAGTAGAGGCTTGTGCTGTATGTGTTTATAGTAGAGGCTGGTACTGTATGTGTTTATAGTAGAGGCTTGTGCTGTATGTGTTTATAGTAGAGGCTTGTGCTGTATGTGTTTACAGTAGAGGTTGGTACTGTATGTGTTTATAGTAGAGGTTGGTACTGTATGTGTTTATAGTAGAGGCTGGTACTGTATGTGTTTATAGTAGAGGTTGGTACTGTATGTGTTTATAGTAGAGGCTTGTGCTGTATGTGTTTATAGTAGAGGCTTGTGCTGTATGTGTTTACAGTAGAGGTTGGTACTGTATGTGTTTATAGTAGAGGTTGGTACTGTATGTGTTTATAGTAGAGGCTGGTACTGTATGTGTTTACAGTAGAGGCTGGAAGTGAGTGTGTTTACAGTAGAGGCTGGAACTGAGTGTGTTTACAGTAGAAGCTGGAACTGAGCGTGTTTACAGTAGAAGCTGGAACTGAGCGTGTTTACAGTAGAGGCTGGAACTGAGCGTGTTTACAGTAGAGGCTGGAACTGAGCGTGTTTACAGTAGAGGCTGGAAGTGAGTGTGTTTACAGTAGAGGCTGGAACTGAGTGTGTTTACAGTAGAGGCTGGAACTGAGCGTGTTTACAGTAGAAGCTGGAACTGAGCGTGTTTACAGTAGAGGCTGGAACTGAGCGTGTTTACAGTAGAGGCTGGAACTGAGCGTGTTTACAGTAGAGGCTGGAAGTGAGTGTGTTTACAGTAGAGGCTGGAACTGAGTGTGTTTACAGTAGAGGCTGGAACTGAGCGTGTTTACAGTAGAGGCTGGAACTGAGCGTGTTTACAGTAGAGGCTGGAACTGAGTGTGTTTACAGTAGAGGCTGGAACTGAGCGTGTTTACAGTAGAAGCTGGAACTGAGCGTGTTTACAGTAGAGGCTGGAACTGAGCGTGTTTACAGTAGAGGCTGGAACTGAGCGTGTTTACAGTAGAGGCTGGAACTGAGCGTGTTTACAGTAGAGGCTGGAACTGAGCGTGTTTACAGTAGAGGCTGGACGTGAGCATGTTTACAGTAGTGTTTTACCCACCCCACCTACCCATGAAAGTTTTCCCCCCTACCTATGAAAGATTTACCTACTCCCCTACCCATGAAAGATTTACCCACTCCCCTACGCATGAAAGTCTTACCCACTCCTCTACCCATGAAAGAGACTTTTGCCTGCGACTGCACATTATTCATAACAATTAGCTACACCATACTCTGTGTGAGGTGTCTGGGAATCCACTATTCCACCTGTTTAACAAGTCATTCCTAGGTGGAGTGTTGCCCACTCAATGGAAACATGCAATAATTATTCCTATACCGAAGCCCAGTGACCCTGGCAATTACAGATCCATCAGTCTCATGTCATGCACATGCAAGATGCTTGAAAGGACCATCTTAACCCGACTGTTGCACAAAATAGGCAGGTTGGGTGAAGGGGTCAATGGATTTGTTAAAGAACGGAGCACAGCAAATTGAATAGTTAGTTACTTAGCTAATGGCACAGCTAAGTACTCTGTATTTGTTGACATCGGAGGAGCCTTCGACAAAGCACAAAGAATTGCGATTCTGGATGAGCTTGCATGCATGGGTGTAAATGGGGAGACTCATGATATGGATTGAAGACTATCTCACAGGGAGGAAAGCCAAGATCTGCTTCAATGGAGCAGTCTCCAGAACAATGAGTATGGAACTCGGGACCCCCCCCCCCAAGAAGAAGTCATAAGCCTTAGACTATTTAACATACTTATGAACGCCATTGCAAATATTGAATTTCCGGGAGGAACACAACAAGTGGGATATGCAGATGGTGTTCTAATACAAGCTCCCACCTTGGGATAAATTAAACAGTCTATCGAACTTCTTTTAAGGAAATGTGTTGAAATCGGTTTCACTCTCTCCACAAACAAGACAAAAGCATTCTCTCATTACAAGCAGGGAGAAAATGAAGAGCTACAAAATAATGGTGTAACACTTGAATGGGTTGACCACTATCGGTACCTTGGCGTCACTGTCGGCTCTAACAAGGGGAAGAAAGAGGAGCTCAACCAACTCATAGAAACATGCAAAGGTCGACTCAGGGCACTGAAAACTTTGACCTTGAATGGGCATGGGGCCCTCTATTGCCATGCTCAAAATAATGTCCACAGCCTATGTGCGCTCCGTCATAGTCTATTCCACACCAGTTTTTAGCACTTACTCGCAAAGCGATATGAAAAAAGTTGAAAGCATCCAAAATGAAGCCATGACAATCATTCTTGGAGTCCCAAGAACTGCCAAACAACCCGTTCTCACACAAGACAGCACATATATGACTTAATGCTTAAAGTCAATATGTTGAATATGAATTAGTAAATATGTGATATATTCCCAGTTACTTTTTTTCCAAAGCCCAAACTCTTCCTCACGTACCAATTTACGTCTCACAGTACCCGTCCGTCAACCTAGATAGCAGAATAGTCGTGATTGGTTCAATTATAAGGAAAATTGTACTTTTCAGGTCCCACATGGGTTGTGAAATTTACCTACTATTGTCCATGCTCTTAGAATATTATAGATCAGCTACTTCCTATTGAAGGCTCGTAGTTTTGTTTTGAGAAATATTAGTTGTTCTTAGTAAATTATAATAAGCACTAAAAATGATTACATAGAATAACAGTCCTTCACCAATCAATATTATATACCATAGTTTGTGCTTTACAAATCTTTAAAGGATGTTTTGTAGGAACGCTAACAGAAAACGATGGTTCATTGGAATGTCTATGGGGTAAACTACTGTAAACAGGATGGTATTGTGTCTACTATACCAACTACAGGATCGGTATATTGTCCACTACCACCTGTTAGGTGAGTAAGGGGTGCAATACCACCCACAGGATGGGTATGAGGGTCACATCCACCCAGAGGATGAGTATGGGGATCACATCCACCCACAGGAAGGGTATGGGGTCCAATACCACCCACAGGATGAGTATGGCGTCCACTACAACCCACAGGATGGGTATGGGGCTCCAACCACCCATAGAATAGGTATGGGGCTCCAACCACCCATAAAATGGGTATGGGGTCCAATAACACCCACTGGATATGTATGGCGTCCATTGTCGAGCTCGCAAACCGCAGCATTCATCTCAGAACCATGCCTATTTCACGCAGATTCCTTAATAAACGTAAGAGTTTTATATGTCACAAGAAAGATAGAAATATAAGCTTTATTCTAAATACCTTACCATGGGCATATTTAAATTTAAAGCGAAGATACGTGTACTTTTATAATAGCCGAGCTCCGACCCCGGACAGATCGATCGACCGAGCAACTCTCTCTCAGAACAATGTTTATTTCACGTGAATTCGTTAATAAACATATATGTTTTATATGTCTCAAGAAAGACAGACATATAAGCTTCACTTTAAACACTTTACCATAGACATACTTAAAGTTCTAATGAAGATACATGTATTTTAAAAATTACGGAGCTCCCACCCCGTACAGACTGAACGACAGAGCAACTCTCTCTCAGATCAATGTTTATTTCACGTAAATTCGTTAATAAACACAAATGTTTTATAAGTCTTAAGCAAGATAGAAATAAGAGCTTCATTTTAAATACATTACAATAGACATATTTATAGCTCAAGTGAAGATACATATGTTTTTATAGTAGCACTCAGTAGCTTGTCGGGCATGGAGTGCAGACGCCTACGCACTTGCCGATATATTGTATAATTAACAAAGATTCGCTAATAAAGCCTAAAATCTTATATGCCTCCAGAAAGACCGAGATATGAACATTATTATGATTGCACCAAATGAAATATATCATGTTCGAGGACAAAGATATATCAATTTTAAATTAAGTTTCGACTCTCTCTTGGGTGAGAGAGATGGGGCGACTCTCGCCCCATCTATTGGAGATTCTGTGCACTAAATACCCAAAGCTACTCAAACCCTCATAGCATTATTTAAGTAATGAAGTAATATGGTATATTTACTCACTATAATGTGGGTGCTGAATGCAGAACATGAGAAAACATATATTTACTCCAAACTAATGTAATTTCATTATTAAATAAGTAGCATCAAAGGAAGTCGACGGTCCAAGCGTCAATGTTGTGGAGCGACTTATCCAAGATATATCGTTGTTTGGAAAGTGTTTGTTGGCATATCCAGGGGTCGCACTTCTCTGCTCAAATTATCACAAATTTAAATTATAATGTTAACAAGTAGAATACGTATTTTAATAAAATCTAACATAACTAGCCAGAAAACATTTAACATTTATTAAAAAATATATGTTTGGAAGTTAAATCGACTTCATATTCAATTTCTTTCTTTATTATGCACCCCATACCCATCCCGTGGGCGGTGGTGTACAGGATTACAGAGGCACATAATCGGTTCAGGAACTGAACCCTCTAGTTCGTTTAGCTAAGCAAATAACAATATATGACGCTAGTTAAAAAATTATCAATGTTGTATACACATGTACACACCCTCATACATACATGTATATATATATATATATATATATATATATATATATATATATATATATATATATATATATATATAT